TTCTATTTTTATTTTTTTTAAAAAAAAAAAATTATTTTAAGACGCATTCGTTCAATTTTTTAAAAAAAAAATTATTATTTTAAGGCTCATGTGCAGCATGCATTTTGATTTTAATTTTTTTAAAATAAATATTTATTTAACTTTTTCTTTTCTTTTTTATATTTTATTTATTTTTTATTCCTATTTTTTTTGCCTATAAATAATTTCAAATTGTCATTTTTCTTCCATCAAAAAAGTTCTCACTTCTCTTTACACTATAAAATTTAGCAATATTCATTTGCATAAAAAAATGGATCCGAATAATAGGCAAAATTTTCAAAATTTCTCAAGTTCTAATCCTAGCAATCCAGATGAAATTCCATTCTTCCAAAATTCACAAACTCCGCCGAATTTACCATTTTCACAAACTCCTTATCCTGCACAAATTTTCCCACAATTCCCGTCAAATTTTCCTTTTAGGCAACAACAATCCCAAAATTATCCAAATTCCACCAATATTCAATATTCACAATACCCTCCACCAGTTTTATTTCAAAACCCGCCGCCTGAATATTGGCAATACATGAGTAGTCAAAATCTGGTGCAATCTTCTCCCCAACAGTCGAGTCAATCTTCCGGATCCCAAAGGAGGAAAGAACCTGATACTCAAACTTACGTCCCAGAAACACAATTCCAGGATCGTGAAGTAACTATTAATGTTGAAATTCCAAAAAACACACGTGTTGTTGCTGAAGGCCGAACAAAACGTCCACAATTGACAAAGGAAATTGATGTGCAATTGGCAAAAGCTTATGTGACAATAAGTGATGATCCAATTACCGGTAATGATCAGAAGGCCGAAGCATTTTGGGTACGTGTTGCAACTTATTATAACGAAAATACACCTTCTGATTATATTCGCAAAACTGCTAATATAATAAGATCTCACTGGCATAATACGATTCAAAAAAAGGTGTATCGATTCAATGAGTGCTATAACAGTATTTACAATGTTTATCGAAGTGGTTGTAGTGATGAGGATATATTAAGTCGGGCTTAC